TTCCTTTGCCCCGAGGGATCTGACTCTAAAATAAAGACTCGCGTGCAGGCCGTGGCACTGTCTCTCCATCAGAGAGGCGCGTCCCACCTAGCCCCAGCTCTATTCTCTTGTCTGCCTTCTCCATCCTTCACCGCCCACCCCCCTCAGGTTCACCCATGGCCCACAGCCCACGCTGTTCCCCAGGTGGTCTCCCCTGGGTTCCCTGGCCCCTGTCTACACAGGCACCCACACTGTCTACACGGCTCCCTTCAGCACAGTCCTCACACCGCCCGCACCCACTTCCCTGGGCAAACTGCATACACTGACCTGACCCTATTGCTAAGCCGCCGTCCCATTATCTATACCACCTTCCCTGTCTGCTTTCCACACGCCTTACCATCATCTACTGGCTCTCCTCTGGGCCACAGAGAGCACTGCCCCCATCGTCTACGCAGTCTCTTCGGCCACCAGCCCTGGGAGCTGTATTCCCCGTGTCGTCCAGGCCGCTCCTGTGACCGCCGTCTGCATCGACACCCTACATTTCCTACCCTGGCTCTCGGAGGCACTCCCTCCACTGCCCCCAATATTGGCTGCACTGGCTCCTCTAGGGTCTGTGTCCTCCTGTCATTGTCTACACGGATGGGCAGTGGCTACGCTGATTCCCTCGAGTGCGACCTACACAGGACACTCTCGATATTGTCACTGGGTCTGAGGGAGGAGGGGTGTACACTGACCGCCCCAGCCAGCAAAACCACCGTCTCAGGGGCCTCCCTCTGACCGATCCCGTTTGGGGTGGACAAGCAGCAGGCTGACCCGCTCATCCCGGATTCTCTCCTGCAGGACTTGTCAGAGCCTTGACGATGGCCTGTGTGCCAGGCGTGTCCAAGTGCCCTGATCTCCCGGGACTCGCGAGGCAGGCCGGGGCCTGGCTGCCCAGGAGAACAAGGAGAGGGAGGCAGGTCCCGAGCCCTCTCTGTGTGCTGCCTCCTCCCACAGCCAGGGCTCCCAGGGGGAGGCACTGCCCCAGACGCCTCCCAGGCCTCTCCATCTCGGGCTGTTCCGGAAATGCGCTGAGGCTTTTCCTCTTCCGGCGTGAATCTCGCATGTCTTTAGGCCCCTCCGAAGGCTCCCTGTCACTGAGCTGGCATGTCTGTTTCACCCGCCACCCCCACCCCGAGGTCTCCATCTCTGGCTATGACGGCAACTGGCACCTCGGCCGAAGTGAGGCCACTCGGAACTGTGATGTCCACAGCAACCCGGAGCCCACAGGCTATGGCTGGAGCACGTGAGTCTGCATGGACGTTTACTCTTGGGTCTGAGGGAGGAGGGGCTGGGGGCCTGGACTCCTGGGTCTGAGGGAGGAGGGGCTGAAGGCCTGGACTCCTGGGTCTGAGGGAGGAGGGGCTGGGGGCTGGACTCCTGGGTCTGAGGGAGGAGGGCTGGGGGCTGGACTCCTGGGTCTGAGGGAGGAGAGGATGCAGAA